TTAGAAAATGCAAGTCCAGAGTCTTTGCCAGGCCTGTTGCAGACCCCGGGCCTTATGTTTGACATCTCTGCTATAGAGGGAGACATTTTGACAATCATGCAGCAAATTTGTTCTTTTTTTTAGCCAGATTACTGAAGATTTATAAAATAAATAATGCAAATTTATCCTAAAAATGTTTTCATGGATTGCAGCTGGCTCAAAATCACCAAAACATATTTCATGGAAGCTCCAACAGACAGTTTAAAAAAACAAAGTGAAAGTGAGGAGCAGTTTGATGTTATCAGTGTCCTACAATGCTGCCGTAGAACAAAATAATATTTCAGATATCTGTTCCATGTGGCCACTTTCACTGTTTCACTATATTTTCAGTACTGATAAAGGGATGCTGGGATGCTGCAAAGGAAAAAACATAAGTATTAAACAAAAAGTATTAAACTTTTCCACTGTGTAAATCTGAAAACGGTCTTACAGCTGCCCTGTGTGGGCAGAAGAACACAGAATATCATATAGATCCCGAATAATCAGCGGATCGAATTTACATACTGTCACTAACTCTGGACTTTTTTGAATGTTTGCTATTTATGCTTAATATTTATCAAAATCAGTATTACATACTGTAAGATTCAAACATTAAGACAGATTTGATCTTTTGTTGCATTAATTGTTGCATTTAGGACATTTCAATATTGTGCATTACAGATCTGAGAGAAGGAAAAAAAAACAAGCTGAAAATGATTTGTGGTGTTGCAGAAATGTATGACTGCACATGTTTTCATTATGAACCCAATATCTATCATTTGACTAAAATCTTAAACGCTGTAAATGAATTGGCTCACTTTAAAAAAAGAAAAAAGGAGCTTGATTGCCGGCATGTGTTTTGCACTGTGGGTCCCCTGTGGTGCTCTGAAACAGAAAGACCCATAAATACTTATGTAATGAGGTCAAATGCAAACATAACTTAGAAATAAATAAATAAATTTAGTGAATTTAAAATACCTACTTCCTTTTTCCCCATCACTTTACAGGCACTGTTTTCTTGCAAAGTGGGATGAGTATGATGATGTAGCAGCTTTACCTTTCCTAAAGGTTTATTTTGTTTTTTTCAGGCCTGAAAAGTTGATGGGATACTGCCATCACCCTGCCAGCCACATGGGTACCGTGGTCACCCAGCTTTGGTTTTACGTTGATACCAGAGGTGCGTCAACTAAAAATCTCAGATGAGGTTGAATCTGTCAAGTTCAGAGGTAAAGCTTTCTGAATATTTTGTGAGCACAACAACTCAAGAAAGATCGGATCTAGGATTTCCAAATTAACACCATAAGTATTTTTAATAAAAGTCTCATAAAAGTGGAAACTTCAAGGCTGGAGGTTTCTGAAAATCTTGTGAATGCGTAAAAAAATCGCTAATTCCTAAGAAATTAACGCAATCGTTTTGTTTAACCCCTTCAAGTATAAGGGAAATGTAATTAAAGGGGAAAAATTACAAAAATCTTCCAAATATTTAGGGACCTAACAGTAAATAAAGTTCAGCACTATAACATTATGACCACATGAGGGCAACAGGAGATCTCCAAAAATGTCACCTGCAGTTTTGAAGGATAAAATATCATAGAATTTCATCCTCCAAAAATTTCCACTGATTGAAAGTTGACAGATTGATTGAAAGTTCACCTGCTGGAGCGAGTTCCCATGGAAATTCATTTTTTTGTTCCTTTATAATGGAAGAGAGCAAATTAAATGGAGACAAACAGTTTATATTATTACATGAATAAAATAAATCATTAGTATTGATTTGGAGTCAGACATACTGTCAACAAATATTACACCGTTTTTTGTGTCTATTACATGAAGCTATCCTGCTGTTGTCTGTTCTCCTCGATGCTGCTCTCTTTTTCTCGGGAGCTCGCCCCCACCTCTCCCCCCAGCAGAGGAGGAAGAGCTGAGACAAGTGAACAACAAGCCAAAGCCAGGCAGACAGGAGACTGTATAGGTGGGTGTTTTCCCCGTCTTCATGCTGAGTGCTCTCGCTCCGCGGCGCTCAGTTCGTGTGCTCTCTTTTAGGGCGTACCTTCGACAACGTAGAGGTGTTTTTTGTTGTTTCATCCCAACTCTTTCTGATATTTGGATCGTGTCAGCGCAGCAGCGGAGACAGCGGCAGAGGCTAAGCTAAGCTAGGCTAGGCCTGAATCTCCCATCTCAAATACTTATGGACTTTGCAAAACAAGCCTAACAGTCTCCAGGATCGGTAATGGTTTGCCTTATGGTGTTTATTTTATTTTATTTTGTTTTACCTTTTGCTCGATGCAAGTGTTTAGGATTTGTTGAAGGCAGATTTTTTTTTTCTTAGTGAACTTGATTGTTGTAGACACCGCGCTAGCAGGCTAGTGAGGCGCAGTAGAAGCTAATTACGTTAGCACAAGCTTGATGAATAACTCTTGTAGAGTTAGGCTCGGGGAAAGTTTAAGAAAACTCATAACATCAAGATTTGAACTGGAGAGGCAAGGGTATAAACGTACTATGCACTCCGTAAACACGGGACTTTGTGGGTTGAATGGTCTGTGGTTTTGGTGAGCTGGAAGGTGTGCAGTGCTATTACATTACACATCGAATCTTCTGTTTACGAAAACGGCGAGGTTTTAATGAACAGCTTCGTATTGCCGTTTTCCCCCGAGCTAGCTAGGGGGCTATCCAGGGCAGGTGAGAGAGAACAAGGAAGTGGCCAGGCACCTGGCTGACCGCATCGTAGCTTTTAGTGGAGTCAAAGTCCAATCTCGGCTTATCAATTTCCTATTATGTTACGCCTGAAACGCCCATTCTCGGTGGACTCTTCGCGCTTCCAGGTGTTCCAGCGCCTACGGTGTGTGCTTGTGCTTTTAATTAAGTTCATTTTAGTCACTGTTTATTGTTTCTGCAGCTGTCTTTTGATGTGGTTTGCCAGGTAGAGGAGGAGAGAGACGGGATTTGTGGTGTTGGTTGTTGTGGTGGCGGATCAACGGCAGCCAAGGACAAAAGCAAGAACCTGTTGTGTAGGTCTGGACGGGGTGTGGTAAGGTGGCTGGCTGGCGGGCGGGAAGGTGTGCTGGTTCCTTCATTATTCTGCCCCTTGTGTAGACGCTTACAACATAGACGTCTTCTCAATTTACTGTTTTACAACTTATTTACAGAGGTAAAACAGCAAATCGCCAGAGGGAGCAGGTGTGTGTGTCCCTGTTTAGAGTGAGCTTTCAGTTTTGATTCATGTGGCTTCGTTGTGATGTTAAGAAAAACATTAATATCACACAGACCAGCATAAGTTAGTGTTTTCAGAGTTGATCTAAAGTAACTGGATTGTTGATTTAGTTTGATACAGTCAGCTGATTGGACATGCCTGACATATTCCCGTTCATACCCTGCAGGCATATCTGTTTGAGTTTGTTGGGGCAGAGATGGAGGAGATTGTGGACAAGTTTGAACAAGTTGTTTGCTGTGATTTGCTTTCTCCGAAAGATTTAGAAATGAGGGACAGGAAAAAAAGTAAAATCTGAAGTTGGGCACTTCTCTTGCTCCTAACCATGTTGTCTGTGGAGGCTGAAGTCTTGCTGCTCAGCCAGTTGTTTTAGCCAGGGCTATCATTTGTGAGTCTCTGTAATGACGGGCTTTCAGAGAAATACCATGGGTGTGTCCCTTTGACTGACACACACACACAAGCTGGGGTTTTCTTATATTTGCTCCTCCTCCATGTCTCCCCACTTATCTCTCTCTTCCTCAGTCTATTTCCAGCAGTCACACCTGCAGTCTGTTTTTATTTAAACTGAGCTCTTCAGCTGGGCGTGCATGGGAGATATGTGATAATGGGTGAAATCAGAGTGTACAGGGTATGAAGCTGTGAAGCAACACAGCCGTACAGAACCCTCTGTGCTGGTGGTTATTTTCTTGGAAAGGTTGAGTTTGGTTTGCACGTTTCTGAACCTCATCACAGCAATTTAGAAGTGACTGCACGCTTGTTTGCAGTTCACTTGTGGCAAATCTTTACTTTGGATTTTAGTTTGTGTGACCATTTTTTTAGTGAAGCAGTTAAGAGGGAATGTTTTGCTGCATGCATGATTTCTGTGTTTTCTGGTAGTGATATTGATTAAAGCTAAAATATGAGTTTGAATCTTGAGCAACCTTTACAGGTAGGTTCAGGGATGCACTGATTGGAAAATTGTGGTCCTAACGGTACAACTCTTTAACAGCATTTAGCTGACAGTTTTGTATCTTTGTAATCTTTCCCACCCCTGTTTGTGTGAGAGAAACAAAAATTCTCAATTGTTAACATTTGAACATTTAGCCAATGTGAAGTGATGTGACACGACAGATAAATATCGACCGCTTGAGATGGGCAAATGTCATCTTTTCTGGATTCAAAAAGCTCGATATGTCGGGGATTCCAGAGGCTTAATTAAATCTAGCACTATCACAGAGAACACAGCAGAATATGATTATTTGATTACATTTAGTTGACTCACGATAAAATCTAATTTAATTTAAAAATGTTTGTTGTTAAATTTAATGACTTCATAGCAGCCAGTTGCCTAAGCTTTGATGACTTAGTGCCAGTTTAGGGAGCAAGTGTTTGAGTATTTAGATACTGTTTCTAAACGGTCAGTGGTAGTGCTGGGAAACTAATTCATTTTTAATTTCCATCCCATTTTGGATTCCACGGATTAATTAAACAAGACAAAATAAGTTCTGTTTTGCCCTTCAGCACATCTCTCTCTCTCTCTCTCTCTCTCCTGTACTTTTGCCACTCCTCTGTGGCAGGTTTATTTCAGTTCACAGTTATTTATTTATGTAGTTTTTTCATTCCAGTTCTAATTAAAGTTCAGGGACAGTCACTTAATTAAAAAAGGAAAGTGCGTTCTTTTTTTAAGTTTAATAAATCGCTCTAAGGTCTCTGAGTAATTGTGTTAAATGCCAGTATCAATGAAAATTGCTGTACTTAGGCTGCTCGATTATGGCAAAAATCCTCAGTTTGTTGGCCTTTTGATTTGATTTGGTTTCTTTTCTAGTTACCTGCTCTATTTATTAATTTCAGGAAGGTTTAGTCAGCTTTGGTGAGACGGAAAGACGAGCTAACGCAGATGGAAATGATTCTGTTCTGTGACATAAACTACAGCTAAAAGAAGTTTAAAGTATTTTTTTTTCCACAGGTTTCTTGTCTTTTCTGGAATTAGCATGCAGGCTGCACTAGTTGTAGAGTATGTTGTTGTTCAGTTAATTACTAATTAATTAACTGACCTCTACTGGCTTTGTATTAAACCAAGCAGGTAGAGGTCACCCCTCCATCTGTTTTATATGATATAAAGTTAATGTGTTGGACTCAAAGTGCGTTCTTGGAATTGTTAGAAATTTTCTTAACTTTGACTTAATAAATAACAAATATGACAAAAATAAATATTGTATTTGTTGATACCACCTTATATTATAAGTAGAGGTAAGTGATATGTAGTTATTAAAGTAATGCTGTTTTTGAGACTAAGCAGTACAACACAAATGTATTACAGTGACTAATGGCATCCTATCAGTATCAGGGTTTTTCCTGGTTCAAAATGAGTCTTTGAAGGGCAGCTACACATGCAACCGCAGTTGGTCTGCATGTAGTTAACACAAAGAGTCTGTTGCCCGATTTAACAGACGTCTGTGCTTTTTCCTGTCATTTTTAGCCATTTGGTAAACAAAATATTATTTTACGCGTGATTAAATGAAACCCCACCTGCCAAAAAATTCAGTACTGGGTTTTTGTTTTCTTTCCTTTGGGGCAAGGCCAATAACTCCCAAAAACTGGTGGTATCATATCTGTAGTCCTAGCTCCAGCTTGACGTCCACATATTTGAACTTATTTGCTCATTTTTAGGCTCGAGCTGCAGTTAAATGGCCCTCCGCTCAAATGGGGCTGCGCGTTTCCTTCTCACCAAGAATAGTACACTGGTGTTGTGCAGATTGGGCAGCTGGCCTTGTGGTGGTCCCTGCAAAGTGGGTGTGTGTGAATGTGTGCTCTCCACAGCGTGCCCACGCTGTACACCACATGGTGGGCTGTGTATACGCGTGTGTGTGTGGAGAGGGGGTGGTACGTGGTTTTACTTTGATGGGAAAGGTGGTAGTAGTTGGATGTGAGCCAAGGCTACACAAAAAAAAGGAAAAACTAAACTAACACACACGGGCCAAATCTCTGAGTGACCATTCAAATGAGGCTGAGTCAGCAGAGCATTTGGCCAAGCCACAACAGCATTTTACCAAAGCTTCACCTCAGCTGTGTATGCGCAAATAGACAGGAACAGGGTGTATTTCAGCCTGCCACAACCACCAGTGACTAACTCCCTCAAATAGCTGTGATAGCATATGATAATAAGGCAATTCTCCAGACTAACAAACTGTTAGCAAGTTTTCAGTGAGTAGTGGACACAAACTGTGTGTGCGCACGTGTGTGAGTGTTGTGTGGTAGCTCTGGCTGAGTAGTAAGTGGTTTAGCAGTGTAATTCCAAGTCTATCCCATTAGCAGATACAATTTAGCGTCGCTGCTAATGGCCTTACAGTAGATTACAAAAGCATAATGGCCAGACTTTAAGTGGCAAAAGCCATTAAACTTTAAGAAGGAACTACTTCCTGCCACAAGAATGTTAGTGGTGTGGCTCACATGGCTGTAGAGGCCGTGTGCATCTGAAAGTCCATTAACTGAGGCGCAATCTTCATCAGTGCTAACAAAAAGTGTTGATGTTTTTGACAAAGCCTCAAAGAACATATCCTAAACCATGGCGTTATCTGGTTTGTGTGATGTGAGTTGATTTCCATTTTCTGTAATGCCGGGTTCAGATAATTGTCAGAGTTTAGGCAAGTACATAGTAATAATATGACGCCTTTTTGTGTCTGTAAGACATGGCAGACTGCTCCCTGAAAATAAACATCAGGAACGAGGATGTAGCAACCACAGTGGTGTGTTGTACCATTTTTACAGTCCCACCGAGGGACAACAGCAACTTTCCGTTGGTTATGGTTCAGATCAAATTATGATCACATGATGAGGCCTTTAACCATCCATTCATTTATCCATTTTCTTTCGCTTTCCTGGTTCAGGAGTGCTGGAGCCTATTGCCGCTGTCATAGGGTGAACAGCAGGACACACCCTGAACAGGTCACCAGGCTGTCACAGGGCTAACACAGCTCTTGTTATTATTGCCTCTAGGGAAAAGTAAGTTATGAGGCAAATTTATATTCTAAAAGCTGATGTATGAGGTGAACCACAGTTCATCCATAAAGTTCAGCAGAGTGGTGCAAAAAGATCCCTACACTAAAACCGTTGAGGCTTAGAGAAACAGAAATGGCTTTCTGACAAGGATGTTGTTACCCTCGAGACCATACAGCATTACCATCAGTATTTTCCATGCCCGTTGGCTCGCCTAGTCTCCTGTTACCATTAGTTGTTGAATGTTGCTGCTTGGTTAGCACTAGAAATACCAGTTTGTTAAATTAATTATTTGCTTATTTTATCAATGTACAAAGTTCTAAGATGTTGCACAGCTACTTGTGGGAACACCTGTCTCTCTGTGATGCAAAGTTGTAAAGAAGCAAGGTGGAAAGT